GTAGGAATATATAGTATAATATATATTTAATAGTTATAATACTACTAAAGCTATATAGTCTAATAATAACTATTAGGAGTTTTATAAATATATAATAATTAAGAAATAATACTTTTAAACTAGTAATATAATTACTAATTTAGATTATACTATTAGTACTTTTACTATAGAATAGCTATAGAGAGCTATTACTAGAGATATCTATTAATAGATATCTATTACTATTTATTTATTTTAATCTATATATTCTAATTATAAACTATTAAATACTTTTATCTAGAAGAGGTAATATATTCCTATAATCCTATAAGATATCTATTAGATAAGATTTTACCTCTTTTTATAATCTATTATATTATTAGTAACTATTAGTTCTATTAATATCTTAGGATCTTTAACTACTATAGGTTATTAGATTACTAACTATTTTAAAACTACTAATACCTATAGCTTTTAGATTTCTAATAATCCTATTCTATAAACTACTAATACTTCTAATATATAAACTACTAATACTTCTAGTATATAGAATACTAATACTTATAGCCCTTAGACTGCTTATACTTCTATCCTATAAACTACTAATACTTTTAATATATAGACTACTAATACTCCTAGTATATAGAATACTAATACTTATAGCTCTTAGACTATCTATACTTCTATTCTATAGATTACTAATACTCCTAGTATATAGATTACTAATACTCCTAGTATATAGAATATTAATACTTATAGCTCTTAAACTACTTATACTTATAGCTCTTAGACTACTAGTACTCCTAGTCTATAAACTACTAATACTACTAGTTATAACTCTATTAATCTTTCTAAACTTCTAGTTATTAATATTTCTAAATCTTAATTAGTTATTAATCCTAGCTCTTTAACTACTAATCCTACTAATCCTCTATCTACTAATACTTCTAGCTATAACTATATACTAAATAATACTATTATAACTCTAGATAATAATATAATAATTATTATAGATAATAATTTAAATATTAGTAAGAATTCTATTATAATTAAAAGAGAGATTATTTAAAAAAGATCTATATTTAATATCCTATTAGGCCTACCCCTTAGAAGAGATAGTAATTTTTAATTTTAGAGCTAAAGTTCTACTAACTATAATTAATCTACTTTTAGCCTTACTAATTAAAATTAATCTATAAAGAAAGAAATATCTAATATAATCTTAGATTATAGAATAGAGTATTTTATTCCTATAGAAATATCTAATAACTATTATTTTAAAGCTTTAAATAATAGTAAAACTATCTATTAAAATAATAATAAGATAATAAATAATAATAATACTCTAGATAATAACTAATTAGCTAGTAGTTATTATAACTACTTACCTATAGATAACTCTAATTTCTTATAGTTATTTATTAATACCTTTAATAAGTATTAATATAATATTAATAAGGCTTAGAAGAATATTAATTAACTCTAAAAGGACTTTAACTAAATAAAGAGAAATTTTAATTAGATTTAGATTAATAATATCTAAATAAAGAGCTAAATCTATAATCTCTCTATTTATTTTAATATTCTAGTTAATCTAATTAATTATACTATCTAATAAATAGATAGACTTATTATAAGATAGTATATAGAATATAATATCCCTAAGAAGATATAATCTTCTATTAGGCTTTTATACTATTTAAATAATCTACTTTCTTCTAATTCTAATTTAAATATTAATTAACTAATTTTTTCTTTTACTAATAATAGTTTTTACTAAT